TCTATCCCTCCTTCTTTTCACTTTCCCAAATTTTGCAAGGGACTTCTCTCGAGCAAATTATCAGTTTCAGCTTAATCAAATAGATCGATTTCAAGCTTGGCAACGGAAACTGAATCGAAACATCTTGATCGGGAGAAATCCTGGCAACTTTTTATTCGACTCGGATCCTCCTTTCCTGTATCCGCTGCCATTTTCATTAGCCAAATCGCTTGCTCCAAGTCACTCGACTAATTTCAACAAGAGTACATATAGCGGCATCAATCAGACGCAACGATCAATATCCCGATCCACGCACATTAACGATCGCACGTATCACGCTGGTTGGCCAGCCGCCAGTCAGTGTCTTAGCTGCCCCAAATCACCGATGCGATTGATTGATCGATCAACGATTTTGCAGGCGGGCCCGGTGGAATCTCAGCTCACGGTGACAGCAGTGCCGCTCGTGAATCAGAGTATCTGCAGCGCGACGATGCCCTGTTACGAACCGCTGTTCCAGAAGATGCTTTGCGCTGGTAACATGACCCACGGAGTGGAGACGTGTCAGGTAAGATGAAGATGAGAGAACGTGGCCTGGAACCAGGTCCAAGAGGTAGAACGCGGTTTCAAACGGAGATCAGAGATAGAGAGAGAAGAGGGACAATTGTGTGCATTCGCGAGTCGCGACAACCTTGCCACACTTAAGCATCCTGAAGGGCCTGCCAAGGAGATCCCTCGACCTGGGTCGTGTGTGACGACGCCACTCGACACTTGCGTCTGTGTGCGCTAGTGATACGCTTCTTGACTTCGTTCGTACACGTGCACCAGGACATTCTACACAACTATGGTTTCGAAGTGATGGAAGAAGATGGAGAACAATTTCATTAGACGAAGTTAAATTTTGGATTATTTGGCACAGATGGACACGCGTGGAATTTGGACGATTTTAAGGATACATGTGTCTTTCGAAATGGGGAAGCATCAACTGGGTTAAACTATGCAGAAAAGTATCTTAATTGAAGGATCTTAATTAAAGAAAAGTAGCTTCATTTTCTATTTGGATATATATTTCATTTCCTGTTTCTGTTTCGCACTGTTTTAGCTATGATAATTTTAACAATTAATAGAGAATTGCTCTTCGTAGATTGGCAAGTTTTGTAAAGTAGAAATCGCAAACTGTGAGATTTCTACCATGCTAACTAATTTTTTCGGATAAATTTATACGTAACTTGCATTCAACTTTTTCACAGACTGATTGATGCATTTCCTAGTTAGAGTTACTCTCTATAAAAAGACATTAAGATTTTATCTATGAAAATTTATTATCTTAAAAATTCTCTTTTCTGTTTTTTTTTTCTGTAGAAAGATTATTAGCTTAAAATTTTCCAAATTCCACCGTTCCAAATCATTCAATTCTGCCAAACAAAAATTTCTTCGACTCTCCACCACTTCATACTTATCGATCTAGTTATGCGACACACCCATACACACAAATACTACGTGTTGCTTGTATAACACACAATATAACTCGGTTATACGAGTTCTCAAAAACCAGGCACCAAGCTGTTCGCCGTGCATGTGGAACATAAATGAGAAGTTTCGCAAGCTGAAGGTTGCTCTGGCAGCTAAGGAAGACTGATGACTCTGTTTCGGCCGGTTATTGTTTACCGTGCAATTAGGGGATCAAATGAAATAGTTGATTGTTCGGCGTAGATGATCGAGTGGATATTTGGGGAGAAGTTGGGTTAATTGCTCGGCGAAGTTTCGACGAAGAAAAGTCGTTCGAGCCGCTTTTTACCATGGCTCGGTGTGAACGATGACGATGAAGAAGCGGCGAATACCGCGCGGGAGTTGAGAATTGCATATTTGAAGGTTTTGAAGTTCTGACAATGAGTTAAGAAGTTCGAATAGTTTCATAGTGCCGGAGAGTGCAGGAGAGAGAGTTTAGGAAGGTCATTGAAATGCAAATTACCCCTCGTCTGCAAGCTCTATTTCTCTTTTTGATACACTGTTGCAAAAGACTCGACAGTAGAAATTATATCTGCTGAACCTTTCGTGATTGATTCCTGAATTTTTCTGAACTTCATCGCCGTAGTTTTAGGTATTGTGTAATTTACGTGGTGCAAGCTGCGTTTTGTATGATGTATACTGTAGCATTCATACCAGTTAATTATGTCTGTTTTAATTCGGTATGTGATTCTATTTGGCGTATATCAAATTTAGCAGTATTGGTAGTAATTTAATATAAATTAGTAATTTTAGTCATCTTGATAATAAATCATTATTCCACTGTTCTTCAATCTTTAACTAAAAACTTAGCGGAATAATTATTCATTGTCTTCAAAATCATTAACAATACTTTGTTAAAGTTCCCTTCACTTTCGTTTGTCCGTGTTCGCATCGAAAATCTTTTGAACATTGAAAATACGAGAAAATTTAATAGCGAATTAATTACTAATTCACTAAACTGTCATATTTCCAGGATTTTCCATAAAATAAAAACAAACGAATCGCCGTCGTTCAACGAAAGAATATTCGCAATTTCTCAAAGGATTAATTAATCACAAACGCGATCAATAGTATCGTTAAAGTATCAATATCTGATATCGCTGTTCCGTTCCTGAGCGAATCGTCCTGCTAACGGTTCGTCGATACGACGCACAAAAGACGCGTCGCGTTTATAAGCAACGTTTGAATACGGTCGGCTGAATAGAAACTAAACATTATTCACCATGCATAATGGAAAATTGTCATAAAGCTCGAAGATTCCTACACGCCACGTCGTTATAATAATAACAATAAAACTCGCCAAGGACGCGATAGAAAGAGCGATACCTTTCGGTCGGTTTTTCCACTCGTTGATAGATTCCGATCTTTTTCCCTCTTCGATTCTTTTTTTTTTTTTCTTCTATTTCTCCCTCCCTTGAATATTTCTCCCCTTCCGCGTGAATATTTCTCTGTTGAGAATACAATCCCGCGGAGGGATTGTGCAACGCTGCGCGTCTTTTGAAAACGGATGAACGAGTCGATTTCGAGCGAGTCGATGCTCGAACACGTACGCGTCAGACTGCAGAAAGATTAATCGATATTTTTCAACTGTTTCATTGTTCTAATTTCAGTGTTTTTTTTTTTTTATTCGTGATGAACGTGCAAGGTAGATTGTAGTCGCCATGTTCGAAAATGACCATGATCTTCGCTTGTTTGGATACTGTGTATTCGATATTTATTTATACTGACTATTAATTTTATCAGTAATCTCAGCAGCTATTTACTTCGTTGAGTTACAGCAGTTATATTTCAAACTGTTGTAACAAACACTCAAACGTCACACTTTTCAATTTATAGATCAAATCGAGTTCGCATCCATCATTTGCCAGCTCATTTACTTTTCACGTAAAATTAATGGAACTGGAAATTGGAAAAATAATTCAGCAAAATTACGTAAAATGAGTGGAATTGGAAACGAAAAAAAAATAACTCGGATTCGAACGTCAAACGATAAACGATCTCGTTTTATTTGAATCGAGCGGATGTTCCAATCGTCTAATCCAATAATTATATTATTGCTGCACCATCGGAGGGATTGTTTATCTCAGAAATGAAAACACACACACATGGGGACGGGGAAATCGAGAGAAATGATAACGCGTGATAACGACCGAGGGAAGAGTTGCAAGTAATCACTGAAACTGTCAACCCTCGTCTGCTTGCAGGATGATCCAGGTGCTCCGCTGATGGAAGGGCAGACGCTGATTGGCGTTCTATCCTATGGATTAGGGTGTAAAACTATGATACATCCGGGAGTGTACACTCGTGTCAGCAGTTACCTACCGTGGATCTCTGCAAATTCCGGCGTCCACGATGTATGAGATTGATACCCGCCAAACTACAAACGTCAACGTCGCTAACGTTTGTCAGAGGACGCGCGGCGAACTAAAGCCTGCCCGCGTTTTAAAGCGAGCGCGAGGGCGGGCTGAGGTTTTCCGCTCGTTCGTATTTGACGGCGATGTCAAAACGTTGTTGTCACTTTGTAAATTTGTCGAACGTCGTAGGAGGGACATTAGCTTTATAGAAATAACACAACGTAGCCAGTAACGTGCGCTTCGAGCGATTTTCTTAGCTGTGTACCACTCGACTTGTACGTTTCCTTCATTTTGTCGAATAAAACAGTGATGCGAAGATGCAACTTTTGATTTGAGAAATTTCTGCGTTATTATGTAACAAGCATCGTTCGGATTCCGAGGGGAATATGGAACGACAAGAATATATAGAATGCGAATTACAGTTGCGAAGAGTTACTGATCGCTGATGGAACTGATTGGCAATTTTAACCGAGCGTATGCGACTAGACTGACTATACGGACTTTTGTACAAATTCGTATTTTCTGAGATGTAATTAAGAAGACAGAGACTTGATAGAAAGCACTGTACTTCGGATATTTCCTATGCAATTTTGCATTTTAAAATTTCTCATGAAATCCGATAAGTGTCATACTGAAAATTCAGGATCAAGTATCGTTTAATTTTCGACAAACAATCAAACGTTACTCTTCTACAATAGGATTCACGAGCGTGATTCACGTCCATTGATCTAGCTACTATAAATGAGCAACGCTGCGAAAGCAACTTTTTCGCGATTCACGTCTGTTTCCTTTGGAAACGTATTAACAATCGGGTAGAGACGGAATATTTAAAAAGAATCCTGCGACGAGCCACGGCGAACTACGAAACACAATTTATTATCCAATAGTATAATCCTAAGCCGTGGTGTAATTAAAATTAGAGAAAAGAAAATCAACGGTGATATTTCAGTGTGTGCGTGTGTGTCGAGATCAGATTACGCCGCGAGAAAGTAAGCGCGGTTGGTTCTCGTGCTCGTGAAACGCATTCGCAAACAAAGAGGGTGGCAGGCAGGCAGGCAGGCAGGCATGGCGACGACGCGAATTGTTTGCAGGAGGAATTTTCGAGTTCGTAGCTGGTTCAATAACGTTTCGTGCTCGCGACTAGGATAAACAGAAAAACGCTCACAGACCGGTTTTCTCGGTGATCCAGCGTCGGAGAACTGTCACGCGCGTGTAAACGCCGGGATAAGATGGCCTCGCGCATCCGTAGCCCCACGATACGATTCCAATCAGTTTGTCGTGCTGCACCAATGGTCCGCCGCTGTCACCCTGTCAAAACGATACATTTCTGCGGTGAAAAATTAGAAAATTTCTAGACCAGTTTGTTCCGCGTGTAGATTGTGGATGTTTACGCAACTTTCTATTTCAACCAAAGAAATTAATTCTAAATAGACATTCGTTTCACCTTCCAAGTATTATAATCGTAAACAATTGTGTTACATTTCGAATATTTTGCATGTGTTTTAAGTATTTTGTGAATTTTTGAAATCCTAAATTCTGAGAAATTTTTGAGTTGATATTATGATACTATTTGATACAGAAAATTATACAACGTCTATTACGTATGTTATTTTTTAAATATGAAATTGCTTGTGACACCGAAGAAATATGTTCAAAAGAGAACATTCTTTCGACAGAAGGAAAAATTCTTTCTCTAATACTAAATTTATTTAACGAGAATCAATGATTGTGGCTATTTATGCATTTATAAGCAATTTGAAGTGCAGAAATATATAAAATATACATGTTATGTCTTTAGAATATTTACTAGGCAAATTCTAATAATCTGTATTTAGATTTCATTCCTCTTTTTATTATAAATAAGCTAGACTGTGAATTTCGACGCCATTAGATGTCACAATTGTGTCACTATATGTGGATGTGTTGAGAAAGATGTTCTGTTTAATTACTCTTCGAGACGTTTTAATGATCTCTTCATTATTCTAATATTTTTTCTGGTTCAACTTTTCAATCCTGCTTTCTTTCTAATCAAGATCAATTAAAGTAGAACTTTCATCGAGGTTACACATGTTGAAATCTGAATTAAAAGAATGTTTCATCAAAATATGAATCGCGTTCTCAAAGAACAATGGTTCGTTCCCTTTAAAAATTAGATTTGTGAAAAGAAAGGAAAAAGGAAGGAAGTACGAGCAGATGTAGGTCAAAAGGGCTTGAAAGACTGACTGTGTTCAAACGAAGAAGTCTAGTAGCTTAATTGCATTTAGGAGAACCTTTCATTCTTTCAAAAATTAAAATACCGCAGTACTTCGATACAATTTCTTCGATCATCTTTAATTTACGCAAAAGTTTCTTTACGAAATCATAAATGCAAGCAATCGTCAAATGCAAAGCTCAACTTCTTAAAGACCAACTTTCGGCGTTTTGCCTTCATTAGATAATCTTTAACACAGTAAATTAATTCGTATTTCACATATTTCTGTATCTTGAATTCTTTTAATCATTAGAAAATTCACAAAATTAAGAAAAGTAACTTTACCAAAAAAAAAAAAAAAAAAAAAAA